GAGGGATAAGGAAGGTAAATGTCTGAAAATTAATTAACACATTTACCTTCCTTCCCCCCCCCCTTGGACAGGGGGCCTATCACCAGAGACCCCCCACTCAGGGTTCAAGCCTTCAGATTTTAGCTTTAACCCAGGGAAATGAGGCTTAGGCTTCAGCCCCAGGAGATGGGGTTCCAGCTCCAGATCCCAGCAAATCTAATGCCAGCCCTCACAATCCCATTAAAAGTGGGTTGCAACTTATAATTTGAGAACCACTGATCTACTGTCTTATTTTGTAATTATAAAGTTTTCTTGAAAGAAACTACTGATTATATCAGTTAATAAACTAAATATTTTGTAGCTGGACCAAAGGTGATACTCTTAATTCTTTATTCCTTGGATATGGGTTTGAGATTGTTTTTTTGAGGATTTGGAGATTTTTGGTTGGGGAAACTCCACACTATGTCACTTCATTTCTCGCTGTAAGAATTGGTGGAAGAGCTAGTGATTTTTCAAAGTTGTCTTTTAGGATTTGTATTGAAGGTTGTTTTTAGGACCAAATTCAGAGGCATATGTAAATGGTCTAAAAAGCCCTCTCTACACTCAGACTTTCTTACAAATTGTAGCAATAATAGGAGAGTGTAAAATGGTGTAGTTTCCATGCCAAGGAAATTAACGTAAGAATTATTCAAGAGTCTACTTGCTGAAGTAGGAGTTAGGACACCTGCAGTGAAATCCTGGTCCCACTGAAGTCAGGGTTTTGAGACTTACATCAATGTAGTCAGGATTTAACCTTAGTGTTCTGTTCCTGCTGCTGTATGTTTAAGATGATTCTGGAAGTCAGACACTTGTTTATCTCTCCTGCTCATTTGGATTTTGCTGTATAACAGCTCTTCAAACCTTTAGGGCATGTCTACACAGTAGGGCAAAAGTCCAATTAAAATAAGCAACTTCAGCTATGTCAACTGCATAGCTCAGTGGTCCCCAACGCAGTACCTGCGGGTGCCATGGCGCTCGCTGGGGCATTTATATGCACCCGCCTAGTCGGGGTCGTGACACAGGATGGCCGGGGGAGGACAGGCCGCACGTGCTTTGGGGCCGAACTCACGCCGTAATGGGGCATGGGGAAGTGCTGGAGCGCGGAAGGAAAGCAGGGTGGCCGGTCCGGAGCGGCGAAATGGCCACGGTGGGGGGTCTGGCGCTGGCGCACTTGGCACAGGGCCGGTCAGGTGACACAGCGGGATGATGTCATCTACCGGTGCGGCGCTCGCCACACAAAAAGGTTGGGGAAAACTGGCATAGCTGAAGTTGAAATAGCTTAATTTGGCTTTTGGTGCTGTCTACACAGCAGGAGGTCGAAGGAAGAACATAAAAGGAGAGAGACAGGAGTTGGAGTAAGAAGTTCTCCATCTTCATCATTATTTTGAAATAATGGCTTGTAGCGTAGATGTTCATTTTGTTATTTTGAAATAACATCAGTTATTCCAAAATAATGCTGTGTAGACATACCCCTAATTCCCGAGGACAATACCTATATACAGCATGCCACACCTTACATGTAACTTGTTGTGAAATCTAATTCTGTGTTTATCCTAAAAAAGGCATCCTTCTTGACAGATGTTTTGCTTATTTGGTGGGCTTAGGAGGGCCATAATTCATAAAAGTACACTGAACATAAAGTGCTGGAGATTTGGGGCTAAATTTGGATTCCACAGTAGTCAGTGCAAACACTATCATTGACTTGACTATCTTGGCCCTTAAGAAACTATTTCACAAATTAATATGCTTAAAATAGGGTTGTTAAGCTGTTAACATTGTAATTAAATGAGTTTATAATTAAATACGGTTTTAATCGTTTTGTAAATACATTTAAATTGGTGTTTTATTACAAATATTTTGGATGTTTTTCTCCATTTTCAAATATATTGATTTCAATTATAACATAGAATACAAAGTGTACAGGGCTCACCTTACATTTTTTATTACAAATATTTGTAAAGATAAATAAAACTAGTATTTTTCAAGTCACCTCATACAAGAATTGTAATGCACTCTGTGAGTGTTGTTTACAAATGTAGAATATTTTTATATAACTGCACTCAAAAGCAAAACAATGCAAAACTGTAGCTCTTACCAAAGTATGAAAGTGCATATGAATATACAGCATATCTGGCACATATGCAGCATGGACTACAAAAGCACCTTGTTATGTGGGCTTGAGATGTGAAGGACTAGTTGACTATCTGATAAGCAAGTACTTATCAGATAGTTGACAAGCATGTTGACTAGTCGCTTCCCCCGCTTTGCTGACTATCAGAAAGAGGCAGCAAGCGGGGCGGGGGAGAGGTGGTACTTCAAAGCGGCAGCGCCACGTGGAGCCTAGGGCCAGACCCTGGGCTCCACATGGCACTGCTGCTTTGAAACATTGCTGCAGGAGCCCCGAGTCAGGATCCTTGGGGCATTTCAAAAGGGCGGTGCCGCACAGAGCCCGGGGTCAGCAGGGAGTCCCCATCTGATCCTGGGCTCCACAAAATGCTGCTGCTTTGAAACATTGAGGGGAGCCTGACTTCGGGCTCCTCCAGCGTTTTAATTCAGGGGTGCTGCATGGAGCCCTGAGTCAGTGGGGAGTTCCCAGCTGATGCCGGGCTCCATGTGGTGCTTTTGCCTTTAAAGTGTAGCAACAGTGTTTCTACGCTTCAAAAACGGAGACACCTTATCAACTAGTCGATGCAAAATGCATCAACTATTTGATTAGTCGATTACCTGCAATTTAACATCTCTAATATGGGCTACAAAAGTGCCATGTAAACCTCGATACTCACTTTCTTCTGACATTATAAGTAAGAAGTTGTCAGTATTATCTTCTGTAAATGTAAAACTTGCTTCTTAGACACTGGATAAACAAGAAGTAGGAGTGGGTGGACTTGTAGACGGTGAACTGAAAAACACTGTCTCTTTTTTATGCTGTAAATATTTGCAATGAAAAATAATATAAAGTGAGCAGTGTGGACACTGTCTTGTCTTGTACTTGAAATCAGTATATTTGAAAATGCAGAAGAAACCACAACATGTATAATAAACAAAAGCCGCTATTCCTCTGTGATTAAAACTAACGTAGACGGCAACTTTTTAAATGGGGTTTGTTTATATAATAAACAAAAGCTGCTATTCTACTGTGATTAAAACTAACGTAAACGGCAACTTTTTAAATGGGGTTTGTTTCGTGATCAGTGCAGGCCACAACTGTGCTGATTTGACAATCCTGGTTGAAAATAATTTGCAGGAGCTCGGTCCTTTGGCGGAAACGGTCGCAAACAGGGACGGGGTTGCCAATGCGGGAGCTTAGCTCCATTGCAGCGGGCGTCGTCTTACGCTGCTCGGGTGCGTTGCTCTTGGTCTTCCCCGCCTGCCTTACCGCGCCTAGCAGGACCGGCGCGCTGCGGCTGCTGCTCCATGGCCCCGCTTTGCAGCGCAGCCTGCGCCTGGGGTGAAAGTGCCGCGCGGCCCGGTGCAGGGGAGGAGCAGGCAGGGTGAGTCCCTGGGGCTGGCTGCAGCCTCCCGGGCCACCCAGCCTGAGCCGGGCGCACAGCGCGAGAACTCAACACGTCACGTCGTTTCCTCCTGGAAGCGCCAGCCTTCGTGGGGAGGGGAATTGCGGCTCCTTTACGAGAGAATCCCGCAGCGCCTTCTCATCTCGCGATATTTGGCAGGAGAGGCTGGCCCTGGCATGTCCCGGCTGGGGGGGAGCGGTGAGCCTCCCGGGCCACCCAGCCTGAGCCGGGCGCACAGCGCGAGAACTCAACACGTCACGTCGTTTCCTCCTGGAAGCGCCAGCCTTCGTGGGGAGGGGAATTGCGGCTCCTTTACGAGAGAATCCCGCAGCGCCTTCTCATCTCGCGATATTTGGCAGGAGAGGCTGGCCCTGGCATGTCCCGGCTGGGGGGGAGCGGTGCAGCGCCCGGTGAGAGAGGGGGGGGGGCAGCCGGGGAGGGGGCAGGAGGAAGGGGG